AGCCGGGCGTGGTAGCGTGCGCCTGTAGTTCCGGCTACTTGGAAGGTTGAGGCGGAAGGATCGCCGGAGCCCAGCAGGTCAAGGCTGCTGTGACCAGGAGCGGCCACTGCACTCCAGTCTGGGTGACAGAGTGAGACTCCAACTCAAAAAAAAAAAATTGGTGGAGAAGAGACCACTCTGTTGCCCTCTGGGCCCTCCCAGGCCTGGGAACAAATAACTGAGCAGCCATGGACAGAAACGAAGTCATCAGAGCTGAAGAACAGGTCTGCACCCCTCCCACTTGTCCCAAGCTGGCTTCAGTTTTTGTATCTCTGACCACCAGGGTGTTGATTTCCTTGAATGTATTGATATTTGTCAAGTACCCACTATATGCATTGTGCTGTTGTCAGCACGATGTAAAGTACATCCTCTCAACAAGCCACCAGGCAGGTACCATGATTATTCCCATTTTATAGGTGAGGAAACTGAGGAACACCAGTCCAATGCCTTCTGGTTAATGGTGGAGTGGGATTTAAACCCAGGCAATCTGGCTCCAGAGCCTGAGCCCCTAACGACCCTCCTCCACAGCCTCAGAGCTTGATGAATGCCAACCATGTTCCAGAGCCCATGCAAAGGCCATCTTGTTCAACAATCGCAATGCCCTGCAAAGGTAAAGTGTTATGCCCACGTGGCTGAAGAACGTGAGGTTTAGGACAATGACAAGACCTCACCAAGGTCAAAGAGCTAGTCAGCAGCAGAGCCAGGATTCAGACCTGGCTCCATCTGACTGCAAAGCGTGTGGGGCCTGCTACCCACAACCCCACACGGCCTCAAGCAGCACCTTGACCCTGGCCCTGCGCATGAACTGCCTCCAGTCAGGCAACAGGTGTCCAGCAAGCCTCGTAGCTCGCAACCAGTTAACTCTCCACAGTTGTGGGTTTCTTACAGAGAACTGCAGCAAGTATTAAATAAGTCATTCTGGATTCAGACCACCCCCGCCCAGTCATCTGAGAATAACGCACCCATCAGGCAGGGCTCAGAGCCTAGTCCGTGTGATTGGAGAACCCTGTCTGGAACAGTGTGGCCAACATGGAACAGACCTAGCACGGATGGTCCGGGCACCCAGGTCCTGGGAATGGGTGTGGTCTCTGACAGCATGCCCGCCTCCTTCTGACAGCCGATTCACCGGACACAGACTTACACATTCACACAGGACTCTCCTTGGGATGCACCTTCATCCACCCCGACCCCAAGACACGCCTGCCGGTCCAAGTCTCTGGCTGCAGTGGGTTCGGCCCCGCAGTCTGTCTCAGTTCCGTTGGGACTGGACGGCACACACCGATGCACGAGGCGCACACTCGGAGCCCTACACTCACGCCCCACACAAAGACGCACTGCCACTCCCGGAGCGCGCCCAGCCACCGCCCAGCCACAAGCCCACGCTCGA